CCTCAACAGAGGTGGAGGTCTGAGGCATCACCTCTCACCTGTTTACAAGATGAACCCACATCCACACCTAGCCTCAAAAGACCTTAAGGAACCCCAGTGTGTCAGGGGGAGCACTAACGACTCACATAACGAGGGGGAGGAGCAACAAACCTCCAATTAAAACTGAAACTCAGGTGTTAACAGCTCCTTCAGGATATCAGTATCTGGAACTCCCAACTAGTCAGTCAGAGCTGATGAAGCCTCTTGGATGAGAGGTGGAACGTCTTCAAGGAACTCAAGCAGGTCCAGCTGCTATGATTAAACTACGAGAATAATTATGACATGGAGAACTCAAAACCTTCACAGACATGCTTTTCACAAGTCTTGGTCACAATTCACAAACAACTGAAAAAAATGCTCAAATCAGTAGTGTTGGTGTATTTAAATGTGCTAAAAGTTGTCTTAGTTTTTGGGCATAAACACGAGCCAGAATGCCAGAGGGAGGAGTTCAGGTGGAAGCTGTAGAAGTGTCTCATGTTTAAAAGACAGACGGCTGGTTCCATTCTAACCTACTTTAATCAGGTACGTATTCCAAAGCACACCAAGCCGACACTAAATCTCACAGCATTAGTTCAATCTTGAGGCTATCTTCTACAGATTTAGCCATAAACGACTTAAATGTGTTTAAATGTAGTCGGATACCATTTGACCTGCAGGCCCTCTGGAGGCAGGGACTGCTGCAGCAGCGTCTTTCCCAGCAGGTCCAGCTCGTCCAGGGCAGAGTTCCCGGGGGTGGAGCCAGACGAGAGGGGCTGAGAGTGGGAAGGTGGGTCCGGGCTCAGGAGGAGGCTGGGTGCTGCTGGGATGTCTGCGTCGATGCTGTCAGAGGACTGCAGGGAGAGAGCGGTGGGTGAATAAAACAGCGGTAAACATATCCTGTTGGATTTCAATACAAAACACAAACCCACCAGCTGTGATACTGGATCCACTCACCTGGAAGGAGTCCCATGCTGTGGAGTCCTCGGGCTGCGACGGAGGGTTGGAGGTGTGTGTTCCTTCACTCAAACCTGCGTGATGAGCAAAGACTGGCGTTATGTCAAAATAAAACACATTTTGAAGTTTCCCTCTGTCTGTTTCAAACGTGTGCTCCAACTCATGGAGATATTTTTACAATTAAACGACCATCCAGCAAACTATTGTTCTGATATTCATCTGCAGAAACTCTTGACAGTTATTTGAACTTTTAAGGTGCAGTGTGGAGAATTTAGCGGTATCTAGTGATGACAGACTCCGTGGACTCCTCTGTACATATAAAGGACTCACTCTAAGCTAACAATAACATTCTTATTTTATTATTATTCTATACTAATGGAAGTATAATTACAAACAACAGAGGCCCCTAAACTCTAAACGCTGGACCTTTAATCTGTTAGAGTGTTTGTTTGACGTGCTGTTACCAAGTGACATGAGCTCGTCGTCAAGGAGACTGATCCCCATCTCCTGCGAGGGGGCGTTAAGGCTGTCTGTCGGAGTGGGAAACTCTGGGAAGGAGGGAGGTGACTGAGGTGAAGTGTCCAAACCTGAGAGATCGAGCAGGGCTGTCCCTCCTTCTGGCAGAAACAGATTCAGGTTTCAGACGACTTACAACAGAAATCATTTCAGCCGTAACTCAGACGGTCAACTGAAGCGGTCTTTCTGTGCTTCACCCACCGGTTTGTTTCTGTGCGTTTAACGTGTTGTTTCCGTTCACGATCTCCCCCTTCACCTGCTGCTTGTACAGGTTGATGACGTGAGTCAGGCTGTCGTTGGCCTGCAGGATCTCCGCTGCAGAAAGACACGAGACATTCTCAAGATCGGACCGTCTGTTGCAAATGCTCAACGCTTTTGGTTGTACGGATCATCTTATGGGCTTATTTAAAAACAAATATGAGAGAAAGGTTCACTCTTTGAAGCTCTGTGCGATTTAAAGGGTCAGTATGAATCAGCTGTAATGATCAAGTGTAGCTGATTATCTGTAGTCAGGTATGCATCTGCACATGGTTCCACAAATGTCTCACATTTATTTCTCCTCCATAAGGGCAGCATCAATAATCAAGGACTTGCAACATGACGATCTGATCGGCAGCCTTTAATAGAAATGATGCATTTTGATGTATAGTCATGACTCGATAATCTGACACTAACCTTCTCTCAGTATCTATGAGCCAATGTCACTGAACAACTGTGTCATTAACCTGTGTAATGGTTCATTTCATCCAACAACATAGTGATGATAAAATGTTGGACTGAGGGCAGGGACGGGTTTCCAGGATATCCTGACTCACGGAGACAGAAAAGCATGAGCGCTCACACCTACAGCCAATTTAGAAGCAACAATTATCCACATGCATGTCTTTGGACTGTGTAGAAAACCCGCACAGCACAGGGAGAACACGCAAGCATGTAAAGCCACACACAAAGGATTAAATCTAGCAGCAGGTTCAAACCCAGAACCTTCTCCCTGTGAGGCAACGGTGTTAACCACTGCTCCACCCAACAGAGGATGTATGGCTCTCCCATTACTTCATATATCACCAGTGACAGATGAAATGTTAAATCAAGTCAACTGCCAAAATAACGACATTTATTTGAAGTACATAAATGAGTAAATTACAGGGTTTTACTAAAGCTGCACGTCAGCCTGGCTGCAACAGAGACGGCATGTAAGGAGTGTAAAGTAAAGAGCATCGAAAAGCATGATTGCAAAAACAAAAGCTCGTCAAAATCAATGAGCATTTGTGTCCTCAATCACCGAGAGCTGGTCTGATCGCCACCAGCCTGGTTTCACATTTAATAATATCTGTCCTCAGAGTCCCAGTTACATCAGCACCGTAATGTAAAAATAAGAATGATGAACAAAAACGACGCTCACCCAGAGCTTCATCGTTGTCCTCCGTATCACTCGCCAGTCTGAACAGCGTCGGCCTCATCTTCTCGCAGCGCTGGTACAGGTCCTGACCACAGAGCACAAACGACACATCAAGTTTCTGATGTACACCTCAGGCTACAGCTGGAACCGAACAGACAGCTCGAGGCTAGAAGCGTCTTGCCTTTACTGTACCTGTATCAGCTCAGCGTTGCTCTGGTTGGTGCTGCTGCTGTCGTAGTCCTGCAGAAGCTGAGTCAGCAGAGAGACGCTCTCCTTCACCTCCTGGATGGCGTTCACCCGCTTCGACACCTTCTCTGCTCGCTTCTGATCCTGCAACAGACAAGACGTTCAAAAGAAAAATTTCACAAGCTGCACACATGCTCGGCCACAGTGGAAAGATAGCCAAAGGCATGAATGCAAAAGTACGGTGAGTTCAGGAAGAGGCCACGAAGAAGTCCAGGGATGAGAGAAAGGAGCAGCTCGTGTTACCCTTGAAATCAGGACAAGTTTGCTCCTGACTTATTCTGAATCACTCTGCCAGTGACACACAAAACCCCCCCTGGGCGTTCAACCAATTTCAGTTTGAGGAAACGGGTGCAGAGTTTTACTTCTTTTCTTTAAAATCACACACACACACATGACTGTGTGTCCAGCAGTAAGAAGTGGCGGTGCAGTTACTGTATAACACATGAACGTGACGGAGGACAGGCGGTTACCTCTTGGACCATTTCTTTGATGAGTTTGTTGGCGGCTTTCAGGTCCTCGGGGTGCGAGCTATTCAACAGACGAGACAGCATCTGACAAAGCAGACAGCCACATGGGGAGAAATGAGTGAAAAGGCTTTACAGCTCCCACAGATAAGAGACGCACAATAACAACGGCGTGCACAGTGGATAAGAACCAAAGCAGCTCATCATATCGTAGCTTCATATTACTGAATATCAAGTCTTTACTTTAGACTTCTCCTCGTCCTCAAAAATGGCATTCTTGGGTCTGGGTGGAGGAAGGCTCAGTAGTTTGTCAGGAGGCAGCTCCGGGTCTTGTTTAATAATACCTGGTTTACAAGCACAGAACACGAACAAGAACAAATCATTACTGTTTAGCTGCTTTAGCCCTTCTAACAAATGTAAAGCATTTCATTCAAGCTAACGATAAAAATGCTAACTCTTAGCGCTGCTCCAGTGTCAGTCGTCTGACCACACATGGCCTCCTACCTTGTTTCTTCAGCATCTGATATGCATCTGAGATCTTGGCCTCTTCAGGTAACCCCAAAGTCCAGCTGTAGATCAACTCCAAAACCTTCTTTTTTACTGGTTCGGGCGACCGTGAGCCCAAGTACTGAGTGGGAAAGTGAAAACGATGCTCTAGTGATTCACACACAACAGATAAAACATTAAAAACACAAACACAAGTCGAGGCACTCTGGAAAGTCGTACCTTTGGAGAAACCACTTTGATGAGTTCATTGAGAAAACGGAACTTGCCCACTTCATTGTGGAACCTTTTCCCGCAGTTTTTCATACACGTCTCCAGGACCTTTTGATAAAACAAAAACAGACGAAATCTCAGAAACAGTAACAGTGCGATCTGTAGAGTTAAAGCCGCTGTTAATTCTGTTTTACATCTGAACTCACCAGCAGGGCCTGCATGGCCTCCCACTCCTGTGGAGACTGGATCTTGTGGGCCAGGAGCCTGGTGGCCAGCTGAGGTCTGCAGCACAGGTCACAAACAACACAACTTTCACAGGAGTGCACACAGCAGGTGAAAGAAAGTCTTAAAATACAGCAAGAGAGCACAGCAAGATCTGATCAAGATAAAAGCACTTATTTGACTTTTAACACTGTCAACGTGAGATTTTTTACACTAGAATTAGCAACAACCAGACCATAGTTACAGAGTGATGTAACATCGTGGCCCCGGGGCCAGCTCTTACCCCTCCAGATCATTGTTGAGCTGGTCACAGAAAGCGTGGATACTACTCCAGTCTGTGTCTCTGTTCAGCGGGTTTGTGGCTCTGTCTGAAACGTGAGCAAACGGAGGACAACACAACACAAGTGACAGATGTTATTTCAGCATTACTGCACGATAACAACATTGTTTTTGTGATATGTGAATAATACATATGCATTGAGTGTTACAGGTTGCATATCTTTCTGAACTGACTTGATGTTTTCATATTTGACCATCCATATCTGGTCAGTTGTCAAACAGCTGCTTTATTCTGTACTTCTATCTAAAAATAATGCAATTAAAGTATTAAAATATTACAACAATGCAACACAAGTTAACACAGTCAAACAGAACCACTGACTACAGTTCCCAAAATGACAATAAAGCTTAGTTACTACCCATCTACAACAGTTTCAACAAAAATTAAAACTGCTCTTAGGTCGTGTTACAGCGTACAACAGAAGTGAGTACACCCCTGTGCAATATCATTTAAATGTGAAATGACTCAAAACGTTTTCATCTCACAATAACTGCATCATTTCTAAGTTGAACAGGAGAGTATTTCCTCCTACAAACAATCAAAACCAAATGCTTTGGAAGGACTAGATTGAAAACACATGCAGCAAAGCAGAACCTGAACGCTACAGAAGTGAACACACCTGTGACCGCTGACACACAAATAAGAAAACCTGATATCACTAAAAACAAAAGTGGTGAGGTGGTTTCTGAGTTTTTAAATTCCCAGACAGGGCACTCTTTAGCTCTGGAAAACACACGTGCAGCTACTTCAGACTTGACGACGGGATTGTCAATGAACATCAGACAGTGTGAAGAACATTCAGCCTCTATGAACGGCATGACTCTGCTGAAGAATATGAGAAGAGGCCTCGTGAATATCGGCAGAACGTTCTTTGATCTTCAGCTCTGATGAGGCTCAGAATGTTTTGTGTGAACCCTGCCAGAGGGAAAACACAGTGAATGCATAGTTCTGAGAGTGAAGCGTGGAGGTGGGAGGTGTGACGACATGGGGCTGCACAGGTGCAAAAGAAGGGAGATGGTATTTATAGCTGGCACCACCTGTGGATGGACCGACATACTGGCTGACTGGATGACTCCCAGTCTGCAGAAGGTTGGTTCAGATGATAATGATCCAAAGCACACCGGAAGAAGAATAAACTCTAACCCGACCAGGTGCGTCGCCTGACTTGATGGAACATTTTTTGAATATTTTAAAAAGAAACACACACAGGCCCTTTGGCAAAGAGGAGCAGGAGGGGGAAAGGCTTCTGAAGAATGACAGAACATGTCTCCAGAAACTTGTGAAACGCTGGAGTCCTGCGTGACAAGCAGGACTGAGTGTGTCACAGACAAAATTCAAATCCCTGTATAATAAAAATGGTGCTGACTTGTTGCGCTGAGCCTCTACTGTGGGACCTGTAACAGCAGGATTTTTACATAAAATACCTCCTGTTCAGCAATAATTTAGAATCACCTGACATATAAGAGACTGCACAGGGGTGTACTCACTTCTGATGAACTTTCTCCCCCCTTTCTTTCTTACATTTTAGCTTCATTTGTGTGGCTGCTAAACTACCTACTGAGCTGTGACTGTCTTCTTTTGACAACAACAACATCAATATTCAGACACACAGTAATGACTATAAATAAGGATGGTGAGTCAGAACTAACATGCATGAGCTCAGCGAGCAGGAAAGCTGAGGAAGGCCTCCGGGCTCGCTGAGTGACTTCATAATCTAAAATTCATTAAGAGTGTGCCACATAAGCCAGCATGTCACTGTGCAGCAAACACACGGGGCAGGTGCTAAGACGTTGTAACGCTAGCTAGCTAACTGTGGCACAGTCTCGGTTTTTCTAACGAGGTCACCGGTTTTCCGAAATCTGCATCTGACCAATGTGTCTAAAAATGGTGCCCCGGTCGTGTTGTCGCCGCAGCCAGGCTGAGCTATCGAGCCGTGAAGCTAAAGCTCCGCTCGGCTGTGTGTTGACAGCTGGCAGGCTCACAGCTCCGGAGCTTTAGCTTTAGCATCCTGGATGTGACGGCGGGGTCCCCCCTACCGGGGCGCGGGCAGCCGTGTGCCGCTGTCAGCGCATCTACAACAGCTTCCATAAGACAACATGTCATCGTCCGGGTCTCCAGACAGCGGTGACTCGGAGGAATAAGTTTAAAACACTCACTGATACGAGACTCCAAACTCTCCGCATCGGGCGGCGCAGCCATCACTGCGAGATTTATGTGGGGGCTCAAGTCTCGCGAGAGGAGCACAGACACGTAGAGAGGCGGAAGAGACTCAGAACTAGAAAACTTAGAGAGAACTCTGACATTTATGAATCTAGAACACACCTGCTTTTCAACTCTTAGGGGTCAATTTAAAAAAAGAAGAAAAAATTACATAGAGGACAAAAATACCTTGGTAAAAATACTGCTAATAAACATTAAGCAACACATTTTCCCCACTTTTAGTGTATTCAGTTTCTTTAATCACCATTAATCCTGATGATACTCATTCAGTTTCTAAATTTTAACCCTTTAAATGACTTTTTTTTACATGATGTTTTTGTGAAGAGGATTTATTAAGGATTATCACAATCTGAGATATGTCAATGGTCAGCAACAACATTTATTTTGCTGAATTATTAAAGAACCCAACACATTAACTTGTATGTGTGGTTCTTTTATGTTGTGCACTGCTTCAGAGCTTTTATATGCTTTTTGTTTGTCCTATTATCTTATGTTACTGTAGAAAAAGCAAAGAATTATAAGATCACCTTGAAAAGTGTATTTTTCAAAACTGTCAAACACACAAGCATCTCCAAAACTCAAAATCCTGTTGTAACCCATATACAGACATGGATTGCATCTTTCAGGTGTGTGTGTGTGTGTGTGTGTGTTGTGAGTTTTACACTAGTAACAAAATCAAAAAAGCATTTTTTGCCACGAATGTGATTAAGAAGTGTACCCGTGGATGGATACAACCACTCTGGCAAGAATAACTTCTATGATCACCAAACTTCGTCAAGTCAGGCAACAGAACCATACTGGAAATTAAACTTCTTAAAAATTAAAAGCACTCCAGGTGACTCGCATATGCTAATCAATATAGAAAATATATTTTTTTAAAAAGAAACTGCATCACAGACGAAGTTCATTTACTTGAGTTTCATCCATAAATAACCTGAAACTCGTCTCATAGTTTATTTTTTGCTTTCAATACTGGAAAGGTTAATATTATTTTGATGTTTGACCGGAAGTACTGTTAAACAATCCTTTACTTTACGGATGCTTAACTAAACAAATGGGGGATTTTTGAAGAGAAAAAAAAGTGTTTTCTAAGCAAACAGGACATTTTTAAAAGGATTATATTTAACAAACTCAATGGGAAAATGCATATAAAATGGGAATTTTCTATTTACTTTTGACTACAGCTACTCTTGTCAGATTGGACAGAATGGCACAAATACTGACCAACTATCAGGGAAGATCTTGGCACTGATAAAGAAAAAAAAAATGTCAGGAGCTTAGAATAAATGACCTGTTTCTGTGAAGCTGTGATGCATTTTTCATTCTGATTAAAGTCCAGCATTTAGCTGACATATAGCGACTGGCAGACGTCTGCCAGGCCTGCTGCCGGGAAATAAACCCGTAACCAGAAACCTCTGCTTCCTAATTATAGAGGAGCCGCAGCTCCGCGGCGCCCCCCAGCGGCAGCTATTGTCCGTGACGGTGGAGCACAACGAGGAGAAGTATGGAGCGAGTAACGGGACGGGGCTCGGACCAGGAGCTGTGAGTGTTTGCAACGCTGCAGGTCTGCGGAGGACGCTTCAGGCTGAGGAGCTGCTTTGCGGTGGAACAAGTGAGTCGCAGTGAGAGAGCGGAGCCGCAGAAAGTGTTTGCGGCGAGAAGCGATGCAAACTCGCCCCAGCCACCTCAGTTTTTTTTTTTTTTTCTTTGACAAAGAAACATAAAAGGAGTAAAACACGAGTTCCTTCCTTCCTTCCTGCTGCTTCGACGCGCAGGTTTGTGCGCTGAAAGTAGCTGCTGGTTTCCTGGTTCCTCTGCAGACCTGCCAGCTGAACTTCACACCTAGATCACACCGTGCCATGTTGGTCCGGTCCACATGTCACAGTCTGGACGCGGAATGACAACACCGAGGGCTCTACAGGACTGGTGCCGCGTCATGTGCGCCAGCTACCCCAACGTGGACATCAGGGACATGTCAACCTCATTCAGAGACGGACTTGCGTTCTGTGCCATCATCCACAGACACCGGCCTGACCTGATGTGAGTAGCTTCAGGTGGCTGTTATCTCGGTATCTCTGGCTTGTATCTGCTGTGGAATTTGTCAACACAGTAAACATTGACGTTTGTCCTTATCAGTTGTTGGGGTCCTGGCTGGAGACTTATGTGACTGGGACGCCTCCAGACTGCCTGACGTGCAGGCTAATCTGGAGCACAGAGGCACCTGGACAGTGTCTAGGACTAATCCGTTGCTTAATCTCTCCCTGTCTCTCTTCTTAACCTCTTCTTGTCCACTTTAATGGGATCAAATGGTTTGTTTTTACCTTTTACCTAGAATCACGTCTTTTAATCTCTGATCGTTTGCTGTGAGTCTCTGATTAATCATCATTCAGAGTATAATAGAGTTTGACTGTTTGGTGTGGACCTGCTCAGAGGTGGCCACAGCGAACGCCTCGTCCTGCCGGTGAAGCTCACAGGTGGGATGATATGAGGGCTGCAGAACAACATAAGAAGGGAGACCGCGTTTATAGATAATAAATGCCTGTGGATGCACCAAAGTACTGGTCTGCAGAAGCTTGGCACAAGAGAAATATCCGGGCTTGATAACAATCCAAAGGAAAATCACAGAAGAGTTTCTAAAGAAAGAGCAAAGTGACGACTATGACATGTCGCCTGACTCTAATCGAATTAAACAATTTTGGGGTATTAAAAGAAGAAACGCCTCCAGCAAAGAGCAGCTGAAAAACGATGAAGAGAACATGTTTGCAGAAGTTGTGCAGCACTTGAGGATTGAATCTGTCCTCAGAAATAAAGGCACAGCATCCAAAAATTAAAGATTTGAGTCTCTGTGATACTGACTTTAGCTGCTCTGAGTTTCTACCATGGTGCCTCTGTTTTTAATACAGTTAATCTAAACTTAGTTTTTAATTTGACAGAAGAACAAATATTCTTTAGAAGTAACACAATAACCGTAAAGTTATTTAGAATCGTTTTAACATTTTAGTGATGCTGCACTCACTTCTGTTGTTTGTTTCATCATCAGTTAATCAAACTCTCCCTTTTCTTCCTCTTGCTCCAGAGATTTCAGTTCCCTCTCCAAAGACAATGTCATTGATAACAACAAACTGGTGAGTCATTTCCATCTGGGTTTGCAAGCATTTGTGTGACCTACAGTTGAAACCAGAAGTTTACATAGGCTGTACACAAAGACACCGTCTGACATTAAATCAGACTAAACGTTTCCTGTTTCAGGTCAGTCAGGATCACCAATATCATTTCTATTTGCTAAACACCAGAATAATGAGAGATTTTCTTTATTACTTTCTCAAAGTCAGAAGTTTACATCCAGCTCCTTAGTATTTGGTTGCGTTGACTTTAAACTGCATGACTTGGGTCAAACGTTCTGGGTTTCCTTCCACAAGCTTCTCACAATAGTTTGATGAATTCTGGCCCATTCCTCCTCATTTGCCCTCATTCTGTTTTTCTCTTGGGGTCTGTAGGCATTTGAGGTTGCAGAAACAAAGCTGGGGATCCCTGCCCTGCTCGATCCAAAAGACATGGTTTCCACCAAAGTGCCTGATTGTTTAGGCGTCATCACCTACCTTTCTCACTACTACGTCTACTTCAGCAAGAAGGCTGGTGGTGTGTTGAGTATAAACATTTTGTTCTGTCCAGTAGTTCTTAATTATATGCTTTGATTCACTTTACTGAGGTACAGGACTGGTGAAGGGTAATTAAAGGCCCTTACAGGAGGATCATATCTGTGGGGTTTTACAATATCTACAAATTCATAGAGAACTGGCTTTAGCTTGTACTTCTTCATCACCTCCATCATTAGTAGTAGTGAGCTGTTCTCCACGTGAATGTAAACTTCAAACAGTCCACTCCCCGGCACATTTTCATCTCAACATTCCCGTTTACCAAACTGTGCTCCATTTCAATGTGACTTTCCAGGTCCTTCCAGGTTGTCGTCATCACCCGTCGCTGTCTTAAACAATCTCACAAAGAGTAGAAGCTCTGATGGTCTGAAACGCCTGAAGGTAACGGTTTTCTCTTTCCTCATCATCTAAACTTATGATCCTCTCTGGCGGGAGTCGAGGCTTTCTCTACCTTGGTACCGTGTTCACATGGTGTATTTGATGTGCTGGATGAAGCATTATGAGCATCATTAGCAGCCTGCACCATGACGACGGAGTATTTCCATCTCAAAACTGCAGCGTTCTGATAACAGCCTCCAAAATGTCCGTCCACTGTCTGGTCAACTCGGATTAGTCTTCAAGAGAACTAGGTTCTTGTTTGAACCTATATAACTGAAATACTCCATATTACAACTTGACACTGAGTAGTTTTGCAGTTTTTGAGCAGAGTCGTAGGTGAGCTGGTGTGCTCGAGCTGCAGCGAGTGTTGGAAAGGTGAGGGAAGAAAGATCTGCACATTCTAGAGGGAGCAACATTTACAATTAAGCCATTTTTGAAGCATGAAATGATCATTTTCTTGGAGATAACTTCTAAATGTATGACTCAGATACACAAAGATGAGTTAAAGCGGCGTCCAGAGAGGGACTTCAATCATCCGGGTGTCTGCTTTCTCTTCTCTTTTCAGAGCCTGACTGATCTGGAAACCAGTCGAGAGGATCATTTTTCTGACACGAGACCACGAACAGTGTGTAGTTTATGTTTCAAGCCTGTGCACCTCATACAGAGACTTTTAACAGATGGAAAAGTTTACCATCGCGCCTGTTTCAGGTAACGGCAGCTTTTATTTTTTCTGCTTCTGTTTGTGTCTGGATGCACCCAGTTAGTGTGCATCTGGAAAGGAATCAGTATCTGAGCTCAACCTCACAGCTAGAGATGAAAACTGCCTTTTTGTTTGTTCATTCAACGATTGACTATATTTGGGTGCAATTTCTATGAAAACCATGAGTGTGTTCTTGATACTTTTACAGCAGCTCATTTCATTTTTGTCTTTCAGGTGCAAAGTGTGCCACAGCAGCCTTCTACCAGACTCCTACACGTGGGAAAGTGATACCGGCTCCCTGATCTGCAAGTACCACATAACAGACAGTAAAAGTGCTCACGTCAGCCCCAATCAGCAAACTGGATCCACTGATAATCAGCCCGAGCGTAAGTTTCAGGGAGGTTATTTTTCTCTGGCTGGATTAGCCATCACCAGCGTCCCGACTTATACCAAGAAACAAGAGTCGCAGGTCAGACAGGTTTGTAAAACGCCAGAAACAGATGATGGGGAACGGCGGGAGAAGAGCCGAGAGATTAAAGACGGAGAAAAGTCATCCGTTGAACCTTCCCGTCTTCCTCAACCCGGTGTTAAAGAAGACAGGGAAGTAAAGCAGAAGACCCCCGAGCTCTCTTCACCCGGCGGTCGTCCTGTTCCGGCCCCCAGACGAATGCTGGACTCCTCCGTCGTCCCGGTTCCTGCACCCAGGATCAAAACATCCCAGACCGCGATCAGCTCCCCTGCTGAAGGTAAACAGGCACAGTATTGTTTCGTTGTGTTTGTGTGTGCTGTGATGGTACATCCACGTCTGTCTTTTGTGACAAAGACAATGAAGACGGTTTCCTCCTTTGTTTTCTGTGCAGCCAGTTCATCAAGTCCAAGTAAATCTCCACCGACGTCGTCTCACATGTAAGTGCACAGAAACAGTCTGTTCTCAGCTTTCATTTTGCACAAACTGGAACTCTCGCCTGTATTTCTGTTAAATCTCATACATAATCATGATCCCTTTTCTTCTGCACACTTCTCATTTCAGGTGATATGTACACCGTTGCCCGTAAAGTTGGAATAGTTTCAGTTTTCAGACACGTTCCTCTTTTTATTTCTATTTATACACATCAGTAATCACTCTGACCACGTCCACTGATCACAGACTGAGTCCCAGTTAGCAGGTGGAACCAGTTCTGACTTCAGGATGTGACTGAAGAGTGGGACGTCCTGAACATTGACTCCATCAACCAGCTGGTGGACAGAATGCCACCATGTCTGATCAGTGTCAGGTGGCCAGACTCAATATTAGTGATATTTGAAAGAGTAATATTGGACACGAAATCCTCTCAAATATGTGTTTCCTGCTAAATTGACGAAGCAAAACCCTTTTTCCTGTTGTTCAATCCCCCCAATTTAGTTTAAGCCTGAATACACAGTTTGCAAAAGTTAATTGTGGTTTAATTGTCACTTATTATGATATCAATAAAGTTCTGAGAAGATACACACGTTATCTATCAAGAATAAACCGCATTGTCACAATCATTTCATAGGAAGAGTTTAAAAAACATTTTATTCCAACTTTATGGGCAACAGTGTGTGTGAAAAATTATTATGGTTGTACATGAATTAAGAGAAAATTTGCAAAAAAACAAAAAACAGTCGGAACATTAGAAGTCTAAATGTTATAAAAATCCCAAAACACAGCTTAAAAAGCGCCTCTTAAAATGGTGCAGTTTGCTGTCATGATGCTAAATAAGCTGACCAGCTGGTTGTAGGACAGACTGTACGTTTGGACTAATAGCAAAAAGACTTACAGTAACATACAGGAACTAGTACACCTGCATAACTGGTCTTCTCTATTACATATATGTTTATATTCCTGGACTTCCTGTAGAAACAGCCCTAAAGTGCAAACCAACCACCCCTGGATGACCATCGTGCATCCTGGACCTTGGACACAGCTGCCTCCAGCTCCAGCTCCTGTCCCTGCTCCTCGATCCAAATCCGTCTCCAACCTGCGGGTGTCGTGGAATCGACCCAAAATGCTTCCTTCAAATCCGTTTGAAGAGGAAGAGGAGGAGGAGGAGGAGGACACTCAGCCTCAACGTGAATCTGCAGAGCAAGCTAAGCTCTCAGCGGCAGCAGTCCATTCAGAGAACGGTGGGAACACAGATGCAGAAAATTGTGCCGTTAAATCAGAGGAGAAGAAAGTGAAACCAGATTTGAAAGAGGTTGGTGGCGACGCAGCTCCTGTCTCAGCAAAGGAAGTGACTGTGGTTATTAACAAAGTGAAAGCTTCTAGTGAACCAGCCGGAGATGCTCGTCAGATTGGTTCATCGGGTGAGACTGAAGCAGCACCAACACAGAGCCACGTTTTCCCCAGAAGTCTTTCTGTACCAGCGATCACATCCGACCACCCTCAGACTCGCTCCGGGCCTGTTGGTCCGAAAGAGGCAAACGAAGCATCAGAGCAAAATAAGGTGAGATTAGAGATCAAGTCCCAGACCATCCATCCATCATCTCTACACCTTAATCCTCACTAGGGTCATGGGGGGCGGAGTCTATCCCAGCTGACTCAGGGTGAAGGCAGGTTCACCTGGACAGGTAACCAGTCTATCACAGGGCTACACTTAGAGACAGACAACCAAGCACACTCACATTCACACCTACGGACAATTTACAATCACCAATTAACCTCAGCATGTTTCTGGACTGTGGGAGGAAGCCGGAGAACCCGGAGAGAACCCACGCTGCACGGGGAGAACATGGAGACTCCACGCAGGAAGATCCCGGGTGTCCTCACCGGGACGCCAACCAGCGACCTTCTAGCCTTCTAACGGTGCTAACCACCGAGACACCTGCAGCCCTGGATTTGAGATCAAGTCTAATTGATAAAAATAATAATAATAATAATATTTTATTTGTATACCTGCTCTCACAGATTTTTTGATGTATTTATGTAAAAAGCAGGTTTCATGTCCGATTCTCTGTGTTTTTCATGATTTGATTTAGACAATCGCATGTGGGGCCCTTTACATATTTTTAAATTCTGTTTTCTTTCCATGTTTAGCCAGCCTGCAAAGAGAATCCTTTCGATCGACAACCTGCACTGACCAAATCAAAGACTTTTCAGGAGCTCTCATCCAGTCGCGGTCCTGCTCCCGGACACGGCTTCCCGCTCATCAAGCGGAAGGTACAGTCAATGAATGTAGAATAAACTCACACACCTGTTGTTCCCATACAATAAGCAAAACATCTGAGAGGCTTTTAGGTGAGCGTTTTTATCATCATCCTCAACCTTTACAGAAAGTCAGAGTTATGATGACTTCAGCCCTCATTATGAGCTCCAGTCATGACGAAATTCATGTTGCGATGTAACTTCATCATTGGTTTTGGATGAATTTTAACTTTTAGTCGTTTGTGTTTTTTTGCCAGGTGCAGACAGACCAGTGTGTTCCTACGGAGGACTTGCAGGTGCAGATGAGAGATGTGGATCAACATCTGGAAGCGCTGGAACAAAGAGGGGTTGAGCTGGAGAGGAATCTGAGGGAGTCCAAGAAAGGTACACCTCACCGTTCCTGTTGTTCTCATTTACTGGAGCAAAGTCACCGCTGTCGAATGCTTGATAGGTTTTGTCTCTCTGTCATTTACATGTCAGACAAAGAGGAGGAACACATGCTAACGGAGTGGTTCTGTCTCGTCCAGGAGCGCCATGTTCTGACGTGCCGTAATACAGAACTGGTTTATCTGTGAGTAAACTCCACAAACTCTGACTTCCACTGCTGATTATTCCTGAAAATGTTTTCTGAGTTTGGTGGGGGAAGAATAAAAGGTTTTTTTTTTTGTGTTGTTCCTTTTCGCAGGACAAAGCAGCAGAAGTTAGAGGACAGACAAGCAGATGTGGAGTACGAGCTCCGATGTCTCCTCAACAAACCTGGTCTGTGTGTTTCTTCACTTTGTCACACGATTGTCTGCTGACGTATCTCACAATAATAAGAATTGTGTAGCTCAGTAATCAGGGAAGTGATTAGGGAGACTTGTGAATGATTCAGGGATCAGTAATCAATAGGTCCATCATTTCTAGTTATACAATCTATAAGTCTGAAATTCAATTTGATTTATAGTGAATTTTAGTTTGATCAGTAGGTTTCCTCTGGCTGGAAATGACATAAAGAAGTGACATAGGACAGTAACACAATGTGTTGGAGGTTTTAATGAAGCATTTTATTTGTTTTTATCAGTTTTTCATACATATATCTTCACTAACAATGCCATGTCTAAGCTTCTAGTTTCTAGTTTTCTGTTCTAATACACTGTAAACTGAGAACAGCTGATGCAATACTTCCCTAGTAAGTTTCTAGTTAAGTGCAAGTCATGGCTGAGATCTAAAGTCTCACTGCTGTCAGAGTAAAATTTAATTTTCAGTTGTCTTTAAAAGAAAAGAGGAACTGAGATAAATGATCATCTCAGAAAATTGTTGCATGTTTTGGCTTTTGGGTTTGTTGCTATCTTGCTACCATGAGTCTGCCTTTCTGCATTAGGAGATAAATATGACATGAATAAATGATTTTTGATGTTCAGTTAAATCCTAAACGCTGTCATCTGCTCGCTCAGAGTGCGACTGGACTCAGGAGGATCGAGGTCGAGAGCAGCAGCTGATGAGCGAGCTGGTGGCCATCATCGAACAGAGGAACCAGATCATCAGCTGCTTGGATCAGGACAGGCAGAGGTACACAAGGGGAGAAAAACACCTACAAGTTAAGTTTTTTACATCCTTAGATTTTTATCTAAATCCACCTTGTCTCTGTGATTAGGGAAAGAGAAGAAGATCTGCTTTGGGAAGGCATGAAGAAGAATAAATGTGAGAAAATTACTTTTTATTTCACAAAGTGCCCCTAAAAAAATCTAATTTTTTTAATGTTTCTGGAACTCTTCTCTCTGCTTATGAAAACAGTTGGTTGTGTTGTCTCTCCTCAGACTCCCAGAAGGAAGGACTGAAAGAGCTCAAGAAGGCAAAAGGAAAGTTTAATCCCACTAAAGTATTCAAAATGCTGAACCATAAAACAGAGAGCAGCAAAGACTCCACGGACAAAAAAAACTGAAGAACTGTCATTACTG